TTAATCTTTAAAAGCAAAAGATCCAGGTGCTTTTTATAGTAAGATATTAAAATATCCTCCAAAGTTTCTGAAATAAATGGAAATCCAGTCAAAATAAATAGAATCTAATTTTACTTTTCCCTCAAAGACAGAGGGAAAATTCCACATAGACACATTTGCCCAACAGCTTCGAATTCCTGCTCAAACCATAGCTGCAGACTATTTTAGAAGCAAGAAATGAAAGCCACAATGATTAGCACATGAAAATTTGTAGAAAAGCTCACAGGCTTCTTCTGCTAAACACTCTGCCTTATTCTCTTGTTTAATTCCCAGCATTTTATTGACCTAGTATGTGAACAGGAAATAATCATCTAATAGTTTTATCAGTTTAAGATTAGTGTCTAGTCTGTGAGCTGGAAGAATGAAAATAAATAACTTTCTGGAAATGTTTCACTTAATTAAACAGTAAGCAAATTCACCAGAATCAGTAGAAACAGACAATTGCCTTTAGGATAAAAAACAAAATCCTTTCCACTTGACGGCTGTTAATAAGAAAACTATCCCAGAAAAAAAAAAAAAAAAAACTTTGAGATTTTTGGGAAGGCTTTAAATATTTTATCTAATCTCATTTTAAAGTAAGAAAAATGATGACACCAGTGCTTATAATACAAAATGGGGAGAAGGGTATGCTGTGGCAGGGAGGGAAGTCCAGATCTTAAGTCCAGAGGAAGACGCTTACTGAGGAAGTGTTCTCGACAGAGGTCAAGCCAAGGTGCTACTTAAGGCAAGAGCTCTCCAGGGGGTAGCTTCACTCTGATTCCAAGGGAAGCCTGGAGTATGTAGATTATGCCTCTGAGCTGTGGAAGCCTGAAGGAAGGGAGCTTGGCTTTTCCTGTCATCTTCTGTCACTGATTAAGGGCTACCAGGGAAGGTCAGAACTCCCAAGGCACCTGCCTGGGGATTAAGGAGACTCTAGTAGCTTGTGGGGAATCCTCCAAAAAAGAGATATAGGAACTGGCTGTTAGAAGGAAAAGAACATTGAAGCCAATACCTGGAACAAACGAAAAGCCATAAGGGTGGGTGTCATGTCATAAGGGGTGAATGCCCGTGTCATCACTGTGATCACCGACTCCACTGGAGGAACTACAGTTGATGGGGGTATAAGAATCTTTGCTGAGCAGAGCCAACTGCAGTAGCTCTCAACTACAGAGTCAAGTTTCCCTCGTCCTTTGCTTGACCTCTCTAGATGCCAGCATGACCTCATAGCCTAGCAGCTAGCTCGGTCTCTGGCCTTTTCTCTATCTACCCCTTCTCCCTAAGGGAGCTCTTGCAGTCCTGTGGCTCTATGTACCATCTGTAATTCCAAATTTATGTGTTCACCCCTAACCGCATCTTGACCTCCTCAATGCACAGTCACCACCTGGATGTCTAACAGGAACCCCAAACTTAACACACCCCCAAACAAAACTCTTGATCCCCTCCCCCAGTACCAAATTCCCCTTGTGTTCTCCATCTCAGTCACTGGCACCACCCAGTGACTAGACAAAGTTCCTGATCCCTCTTCTTTACCTCCCCCATTCAAGCCACCAACAAAACCAGTCAGCTTTCCCTCATCTCCATTCTCACTGCTGTCACTCTATACTCCGAGCCATCATCTCTCTTGCCTAGACTACTGTCACCATCTCTTCACTAGTCTCTCTGCTTCCACTTTTGTTCCTCTCTATCCACAGGAGCCCACGGGATTAATTTAAAAGTTGAATCAAATCATGCCACTCTGTGGTTTACGACCTTCCTATCGCACTTGGCTTCTAACCATGACTTTCACCTCTCTGAGCGCCTCTGTCCACTCCCTCTTGCTCATTCCACTTTAGCCGTGCTGGCTTTCTCCCTGGCCCATAAACATGCCAACCTCATTCCTGCCTGAAAGCTTTGGCACTTGCCACTCGTTGTTCCCCTCTCATATTCTCAGGCAGGCTCTTTGGTGTTATTCGGGTCTCAGCTCAGATGTCTCCTCAGCGAAGGCTCCTCTGATGAACCTCTGCAACATATTCACCCCTCCACACTCAGACTTACCACCTCACCTTGTTTTATTTCCTCCTGGAGATCATAAATGCCGAAAATCCTCTTGTCCATTTATTGGTTTCCTTTCAAGAGATCGTAAGCCCCATGTGGACAGAGATTGTGCCTTGTTTTATCCACAGATCTATCCCCAGCAGACAGAGCAGCACTTAGCACAATGCATGGCAAAGCGTAGGCACAGTATAAGAACTTAAAAAAGCATTGTGTCACAATCTGTAAGGAGTGGCTCAGGTATTTTTTTACCATAGTTTGTGACTCATTTGCTTTATAAAAATTATTTAATTTTTGAATTAGAGCTTCCTTTGACCCACGCCCCCCAAACCTGTACTCTTCCTCAGTGTCCAAAGAGGCCTGTACTCCCCACATTGCAAACCTATGCATGAAATACTGCAATTGCCACATTACCCCATAAGGCTAGGGACTGGACCTCCTTTATTCACCAGACACATGGGAGGCAAGCAATAAATATTTATTGAACAACAACAAAAAAAAGAATGAATGAATGGATAAACAAATTATTTTTTTAAAACCTATCATTGCTCTTTTAGTCAAAAATCTCTCATAAACCACCCTTAATAAATCAAATCAATTGATGAGTATTTGTAATGTTATAATTATCTTGAACACACTCAGGAATTATCTCTCTTATTCATTCTTTAAAAGAGAAATTAGAGTTTTATATTAGATAATATTTACGAACAGTGCTTCTCAAACTATCTATGAAGTTGTTGTTGTTGTTTTTTTAATTTCAAATCTATTAAGGGCCAATACTTTTGGTCCATATCAAGTAAGTCTACTGACCATGTGCTTGGCTATCGCGGCAAAGTTGAATTTCTGTAAACATT